TCTCTGTGAACTAATCTTTCGCTGTGAACTAATCTTTCACTAGGGCTAAATCTTTAGGGCTAAAGCGCCACCTGCTGTAAAACGAATGAAATTATTCGTTCATTTTACTGTTCGAGAGTCAAAGAGCCGAATCAGTAAAAAGAGTCTTTGTGACAGTTTCATCCTCAAGGACGGACTTTACACTGGTCCTCTGCTCTTGTAGCCGCTCAGGTTTTTCCTTCCTTCCTGTTACCAATGACAGGTGGCTTGGTGTGTTTCGGTGTAAATGTTTCTTCCACGTCGACTATGTGAAGTGATTATTACCGTCGGTTAAGACGATAAAATATCAGCGTACACCGATGACATTAGCGTAAAATATGAGCATTAGCCAATTAAAGGTAAAGAATGTGTTAGCACAAGAGAAAACAAACAGACTTTTCTACTCCTCTCGGGGGGACGTCGACTTGACGTCCTTGCCTAGTGTGGACGATAAATTATTCCAGTTAATTAGAGCCTAAATGAACCAACAGTTATTATATTGATAATTAAAATAATTAGAAGTGATTTTTCTTTGCCAGAAATCGTTCTGACTCGTCTTAGTTTGTGAAGTGAAGTATCTGGTTGCATATCATTCATTTCTTTTTCCACCACTTTGCTTTCAGGTGTTGTCTTTCACTATCGGGCTAAAACCAGCAGATATACACTGGACTATGATAAAGCTGTTAAAACCTGTCAAGATGTTGGAGCAACCATTGCAACCTACGACCAGCTGAAAGCTGCCTACGAAGATGGATTTGATCAGTGTGATGCTGGCTGGATCGCTGACCAGACAGTGAGGTCAGTTACATTGTTGTTGTTTCTGTGTAATTAAAAGTCACATGTTATTATTGCTGCATGAGTATTGCTGGTTATAGCGATAAAATACTTTGTCACAAAAACTTTGATTACATCTCAAATGCTGCCTTTTCTTTCTGTACAGGTACCCCATCATAAAGCCAAGGCAAGGTTGCTATGGCAACCTCAAAACCAAACCTGGCATTAGGTCATATGGAACCAGGAAGCCCACGGAGACCTATGATGTCTACTGCTACGTAGATAAACTTGAAGGTAAGTCTGCCACAAATCATGCCCCAAAGTAGTAGTTTTAAAGTTTTAGCACAAGCTGCAAATGAAATACATGCAAACATGCCGTCACTCTATATGATGTCCAGATCAAAATCTTGTTTTTCCCTGTTCAACCCTGACAGTTTCACTAAAGATAATCAAATATTATATTGACCAGAAGAGCCAGCTTGTAAATACAAGTGGCTGTTCCCTCCTCAGAGTGGCTAGGCTTAGCCCATGAAGAGCTTGGCTTGATGACAGAAGGTCAGAGTGAAGACGAAGCACTGCATCAAGATAAACAATTTAGAACAGTTTAAAGATATGGTTTCAATGCATCACTAACTGTTGTGTTTTGATATTATTTGATATGTTGTGTCAAGATATTACCCGAGGAAACCTGAGAAAAGGGGTCGAGTTGATTCAGGCTTAGTGGCTTAGTGGTTAAGGAAGTGGACTTGGGTCCGGAAGGCTTCAGGTTCAAGTCATCCCCAGCTACAAAGTTACCGCTGAGGTGCTCTGAGCATGGCACCGTCCCCACACACTGCTCCCTGGGCAGCTTAAAGCTGCCCACTGTTCACTTTGGTAATGGGTTAAAAGCAGAGGTCACATTTGGTTGTGTGCAGTGGCGTGCTGTGTCACAATGATAAGTAGTTCACTTTCCTTTCCTTCGCTTCCTTCCTCCCTAATAGTAGTCTATGCATAAGTTAGCGTAATATTTTATTGTGGCTGAAATTAGACCCTAATTAAATTTTCTTGTACTTCGTTATGTCTATAGTATATATTGTAGTCATTTGGATTTGCTTTTTAATTTTCTTTCAAAAACTATGGCACAAAATTCAGATGAACTTTCATCTTTGGGAGAGTCTCAGTTCCTGCTTTGGTTTTATTAGGGAATGCATTTATGAGGGGGTGGGAGGGGAGCATCTCTTAATCTCAATGCCATTGTAAATCACTATGACCAAACCAACATTTGATATTTACAAGTTACACCCAACATTAACTGAAAACATGTAGTCAAACAGTCATCCTCTCTTGTAACGTTTTTTGGCTGCAGATGGGATCCTGCTTCTTCACACTGTTTCATTTGTATCACTCCTATAGGCAAGGACGATTTATATTGTATGTAATCAGAAAAGTTAACCTTGAAAATGCAACATGCTGGAGGGGAACATCAACCTCACATAATAGTTCTCTCAATCCTGAGGGAAAAGTATATGTCCTGAAGGAGACAGACATTCATTGACAGGCCAGGGACATTATCCGCATAGCTATTCCACCTCAGAATGATATAAAGAATGAACTACTGTTTTCTAAATACTTATTGGTGGGGGATGTTTTGGGTTGCTGCCCTGCACAGCTGTGCTGTTTCTCTGCTGTTTTTAGGTTATGTCTCCTCTGAAAGGTCAAAATGATTTGAAAGACCTGTTGGCCTAAATCATTACATTTGACTTTCTGTTTTAATTTTTCAACTAAAATAATCTTACACTGCACTCGAACTTTGTTGCATTACCTCTGCCACTTGTCCTTAGTCTTTTTGCTCTCTTTGTTTTAGGTGAAGTGTTCTTTGCTCCTGTGGGTAATAAGATGACCCTGGATGAGGCCAGCGAAGAGTGCAAAAAGAGGAATTCTGTTTTGGCTTCCCCTGGTCAGCTCCACGCAGCCTGGAGGATGCACCTAGACAAATGTGACTACGGCTGGCTCTCTGACGGCAGTGTACGACATCCTGTTGCTTTACCCAGAATGCAGTGTGGAGGAGGTCTGCTTGGTGTCAGAACCATGTATAAGTACAGAAACCAGACAGGTTTCCCAGAACCAACTAATACGCATGGAGCTTACTGTTTTAAAGGTAAAACCTAATTTAAGGGCCTTGTATATTTGAAGAAGTTTTGGACCCCCCCCCCCCCCCCCCCCCCCCCTCCGAAGGAAGGAACGTTGAAGAAACGAGCAGAATAATTCTGTTAGGCAACTGGACGTGAATTTTCTAGACGTTTCACCTCTCATCCAAGAGGCTTCTTCAGTTCTAACTCGTGGTGGAGAGTACAGCAAATATATACTCTAGGTGTGAAAGAATAAAGCTACTTCAGGTCCACCCTGTTGGGTGGGGCCTTGGGGTCAACTGGGAAAGTGTAAACAGTCTTTAAGAGTCTGATGGGTCTTTTGGGTATTGTTCCTAAAAGTGCTTTGTATGTGGGTGATACGTTGTGTCTGAGTCCACCTCCTCTGTTGAGTGATGATTTTTCCAGGTTGACAAAAATGGCTTCTTTTACTCCTCTCTCAAACCATCTGTCTTCCCTGGCCAAAATGTGCACATTGTGAAAGGAGTGTGTTTTGTCCTTGAGGTGTATGTGAACAGCTGAGTCCTGTCCTGAGGAGTTGGCCCTCCTGTGTTGGGCCATGCGCCCGTGTAGCGGTTGTTTAGTCTCCCCAATGTACAGGTCAGTACACTCCTCACTGCACTGAACGGCATAAACCACATTGTCCAGCTTGTTTCTTGGAGTCTTGTCTTTGGGATGAACCAGTTTTTGTCTTAGGGTGTTGGCAGGTTTGAAGTGTACAGGGATCTGGTGTTGGTTAAAGATCCTCCTAAATTTTTCCGAAACTCCTGAAATGTATGGAACCGCACAGTTGTTTTTCACATCTTCTCTAGTGAACTTGATGTTCCTGTCCGCCGCGTTGATGTGGTCTATGAAGTTGTCGACCTCATGGACCTTGATTTTGACCCAAGTGTCGTTCACATATCGGAACCAGTGGCTGGGTGACTCCCATGTAGGAGTGTAGAGCTCGGCTCTCCACTTCCTCCATGTAGAGATTCCCCCATGTAGAGTATGGGTTAATTATGCATTTGGGCCTAATTTTAAATAAATGATTTTGCAAATGATAGAAGAAGATTCAAAATGAAAACACAAAAGTATCTTTTAGGTTATGGAGGTGTTTTAGTAGCAATGCATATATGTGAAGGTGAAGGTGTTAGAGTTGTGAAGAGACATCCTCATGTCAAGACATTTTCCAAGGAACTGGAAACTGTCTTATGAGGACATCTTAGGACTTGGAACTCAGCCAACATTCAGTGTTGTAATCTCCAAATGGTCTAAAAAGTAGTAAAAAATAAAGTGAAAATAACAATAAAATACATGACTTAGTGATAAAATTATTTTGGTCCCTGCTTATGCGTTGCAGGTCTTCACATTTTTTTATAATGTAGTTTGTAACTATTTACAATCTAAATTAAACAAAAGTCTTTGTTATATTTGTTAAATAAATTGCAGTCCAAATACTTAAAAAGTGCAGATTGAATTTAGTTGAATTTGTTCTGACTTTTAAAGACGTAGTGTGATTTAACATCTCACAGGGGATTGTTTGCATACATTTTGATAGGGCACATGCTGTGTTTTGCAACATTTAAACTGGAAACTATAGAAGGAAGGAAGGAGGAAGGAAGGAATCTTTATTGTCATATGCACCAGAGGTGATACGAAATTTAGTTTGTACAACCCGTTCCAAGAAAAACATGAATAGACAATAAAAACAATACAAATAATTGACAAGGGGGGACAGGAACAGGAAGTCCAGGACGCAGCCCGTGGTCGGCGCACCCTTATATTAGATGAAAAACAACTGAAAAACGCTGGGGAAGGAGGAGGAGGGAAAAAAAGACAACTCCAAACTAGGCCCCGTGGGAAGGGGGGGCGCAGTGTGGGATTTAGAAAAAAAACCTCTCAGCACAAAGCACAATCAAAGACATTATAACAGCACGAGAACATCTGCACATGTGGGAGTGGGGCGGGAGAATGGGGGCGGGGGGTTACAGCACGATCGAGTCTGGGAGGGCTGCTGCAAGACCCGCGCTGCCCTCGACCTTCACCGACCGCGTCGCAACAGGGGAGGGAGGGAGGCTGTAAGGGGCCAAAGAAGGCGTTGAATCAGGGGTAAGGGTAAGTGTCCCAGAGAGAGGGGGAGGGGGTGGGGGTTCGGAGCGTCTTGTCTGCAGAAACATCCAGGAGAGTAGA